TTCAAGTTCGAGTTCTTTATTTATATTTTGTGTTCGATTTCCTTCGGATGGTATTGGTTGAAGAATTGTTTGAGTTGAACACATTGGTGCTTGTAAATGAGATCGAGAAGGATTTTGACTAGCAGGTTGTGCTTGATAATAATCATAACTCGTTTGTTGTTCAACTTGTGTAGCAGAAAATAGTAGTTCATCATCAGTCATTTCAAAATCGTCCATCATCGACGAAGCAGGTGCTGTTGCTCCTGCTGCTGCTCCTCTTCCTCCTCCTCCTCCTGTTCCAATATCAGATTCATCTTGATTTTCATCAGTTCGAAGACGTTTTATAGGTGGAAACATAATCCTTTTAATATATTCTAAAAACAAAATGAAAGTTTTGCAAATGAACAATTGATTATTAACGAATCAAAATTATCGGTGGGCTCTGTCCGATTGAATTAATCTAAATAATGTTTATTGAAAGTTTAAATTATTAAATATTCATCGGAGAAAATTTATTTTTAAATTAATATTAGAAATAATTTAAAAGATTTGAAATTTATGCGTACATATATATGATGTTTAAACCATATTCATCCGGCATCTGTTGACAAGTACATTATCAATTTAGCGGGATTATGGCCTTTTATTATCTATGTTTTTTTTCATGTTCTTTTTTGTATTTGTTTATAATAATAATCATAAGACTATAGTCATTTTCTCTTGTTTGTTGCCATTTAAACAAATTGTACTTATCATTGTTTAGAGTACCATTTTCAAATTAAGCTTCAGTATGTCCTTGAGTAATAATCTAAACTAGCATTCTCTCCTTGACATTTTGTCTCTTTAACAAAATAATCTAGTGAAATTTCTTTATCTTCTATTATTCATACATAAGTACAACACAACTCTCTCATAAATCCTCTTTTCAAAACAACACTTTTTTGGTATAATAAATGGGTGGCAGTGAAGCAGCTCCACCGGAGGTTAGTAAATAGTTTCTCTGAATAGTTCAGATTTTTTCAATATGAGAATTTCATTATGATAAACAGCGTAAACAATGGTCGAATCCTGTTGAATTCTTTTTAACATTAGTGGCTTTTGGTAAATATGAACATTTTAGTCATAGATGTGAATTTGCATTTGAAATTTTCGTATTTAATTTTAGCTGTTGGCTTAGGAAATGTTTGGCGTTTTCCATATCTGTGTTTTAAAAATGGAGGAGGTTGAATATAACCAAATGTAACTATACTTATGTATCCATATATATATCGTATTTTAGGTGCATTTCTTATTCCATATACATTTATGCTGATCTTTATTGGTGCGCCTGTCTTCTATCTTGAATTAACATTGGGACAATTTACTAGTGCTGGTCCACTTGTAGTATGGAGAGTTAATCCATTATTACGAGGTTTGTTAAGTACTCTTAAAAATTCCATAAAGATGAAGCGAAACAACTAAATTTAATCAATGATATTCAGCCTAAAAATAGGGCAATAAATGCTTTGTTTAATGCTAATTATCATGGAATTTAGTTTTGCTTTAATTAGACCAGCTTCTATGCTGATAAAATGTAAAATATAGCGAGAGAGTTCTTCTGTCTCAAGTGCAACTCCCTCTTTCGGTTAGTTATAGTAGAATATGATAGGACTTTGAAATGTAAGTGGAAAATAAGAAATTACATGTGTTTGAAGAAGAAGATTTATTAGAAACAAAACATAACCGTATTTAATTCTTGCCTTCCACTTTAAAATGGTCACTTTCTATAGTTATCAATTTAGATTCTTTGGTAGTGATTTATTTATTTTTTATTAGATGGTGATGTTTCAACCACAGATAGAGAAAGAATTGTTTTTCGTTTATTATCTCTATTGAAATATCATTGATTTCATATTCTTCTAGGTATTGGTTATGCATCATTAGCAACGAATTGTTTTTTAGCACTTTATTATAATGTCTTGATTGCTTATTGTTTCTATTATTTAATCGCATCATTTCAACTTGTTGTTCCTTGGTCAACCTGTGGTAACTGGTGGAATACAGCCCTCTGTACTGATCAAAGAACATTAGCAAATATGTCTCGAGCTGATCTTGAATTAATAAAAAGTAATAAATTGTGTTTGTCTTTTTTTTATTTGATTTCATTAATCATTTCAAACAACTACTTTTAGATATGACAACTTCACCAAGTGAAGAATATTTCTAGTAATATTTTGTTTCTTCTTCTAAACTTTTTAATTTTTTTGCTATTTAATATTAGTCGTGCAGTGCTTCAGATTAGTAATGGAGTAGAAAATCTTGATGGTGTTGTTACTCATTTAGCTATTGCTTTAGCAGTTGCTTGGCTAATTTGTTTTTTGGCATTATCGAAAGGTGTCCAATCACTAGGCAAAGTAAAAAATATTAAAAAAAAACTTTTTTTCGCTGTTGGAACAAAATTTGTTTTGTTAATTAAAAAAATAGATTGCATATTTTACGGCTTTATTTCCCTATGTAATGTTAACTGTTTTAATTATTCGTGGAGCAACATTAAGTGGTGCTATTGAAGGCGTGAAATTTTATATGGGAACCGTAAATTTTAGTGTACTCAAAAATCCATCTGTAAGATTTTGAATTGTATTTTGAAGAAGAATTTTTTGTTATTGTTGTTATGAAATGTAGGTATGGAAAGAAGCATGTACACAAGTCTTTTATGCATTAAGTTGTTGTAGTGGGGGTTTGATTGCTATGTCATCCTTCAATGACTTTAATAATAATGTTTATCGGTAGAAGATTTTGTTATAGAAATTGAAAAATTAATTGATTTTGTTTTTCTTTTCTTTCTATTTAGTGATACAATATCTATTTGTTTGGTTACATGGTTTACAAGTATTTTTGGTGGTTTTGCAATTTTTACTGTACTTGGTATAGTATTGATTGTAGAAAATTTTTAAATTGATTGATTGATTGATTTTTTAAGGTCATATGGCAACTAAAATGGGTGTAAGTGTTGCTGATGTGGCTAAAGGAGGTCTAATAGACATTTTCAACTTTTATTTTTAACTTCTTTTGATTATTAAGGTCCTGGTCTGGCATTTGTTGTCTTTCCTGAAGGCTTATCAATGATGCCATTTGCTCCTTTATGGTGTGTTCTATTTTTTTTAATGATGTGTACACTGGGTTTTGGTTCTGAAGTTAGTTAATTGAATTGTATTCTTGTTTTCAAAAATTCTTCAATTATCTTTTATTCAGTTTTCTATTATGGAAACTGTTATGGCTAGTATAATAGATGAATATAAAACATATTTAAATACGCCGAAAAAAATAATTATCTTTCGATTTTGCATATCATTTGTATTTTTTCTTCTTGGTTTATCTATGGTTACACGAGTATGTTTATTTATTTATTGAAAAAAAAAAATTAAATATTTTATTAAAATGTAATAGGGAGGCTTATATGTATTGAATATAATTGATCAATATTTAGGAGGATTTCCTTGGTTGATTATTGGTGTTATTGAATTATTTTGTATTGCATGGGTTTATGGTAAAGAAAAAGAAAATCTATTTTGTGTTTTTGATATATATATTTATGAATTATTTTTAGGTGTTGATAATTTTTGTGATGATATTGCATTAATGATAGGTGAAAAACGACGTCCAAGCATATTTTGGAAAATCTGTTGGAAATATATTTCACCATTAATTCTTCTTGTAATAATTATTTTTTGCATCTGTTCATGCATGAAATTCTTCATACATCTGTTTATGTTTATATTTGTTTTTCTTTACAGTTTACCATTGTCTTTTCCTCGCTATTCTATCAAGATGTAACACTTGATGATTATATATATCCATCATGGGCCCTTGCACTTGGTTGGATTGTAGTAATAGCATGTCTTGGCTGGCTTCCATATATTTTTCTAGTTGAAATATGTCGTCGTGGAACATGGGGTGTATGTTAAGAGTGTTGTCAATCTCTTATGCTCGAAATCTTCTTTCTATTCTTTAGATTATTAAAGAAGCTCGTTTGCCACATGCTAGATGGGGTCCAGCTCGAGAGGAACATCGTCAATTATCAAAACGTTATGCGAATAAGCATGATACAAAACAACTTAGTATGCAAACTTTATCGACAATTGATACTGGCGATACGTTTGACTTGGATGCAGCAGCAATTGAAGTTATAACAGCAAGTCCAAAATTATTTGTCAAGCGACTTTCAGACGTGTCTACTACACGATTTTAATAATAAATAAAAATAAAAATAGTTCTTTCAATGATGAACGTAGATTATGTTTTTTTTGAAATAAAAAAAATCAGGAATAACAATTAAAAAAAAAGAAAATCAAGGGAAAAAAGAAAAGAAAAATATATATATGAATGCCACACGAATAATGTTTTTCTTTGCTACCTCAGCCAAGACATGCTGCTTGAGTAGCGTAAAATTCGTCGAAACTAGCACAAAAACGTTCTGCAAGAAGAAGAAAAAACAGCAATAAAATAAGAAGTGAATAGTTAGAATATGAAAAAGAAAAGTTTTTTTCTCGAAAAAGAAATTAAACAACAGTGAGATTCTTTTTCTTCTCTCCACTAACAAAAATAAATTTCTTGAAGATACTTCAAAGTGTAATCAGGATAGGTTAAGCACAGCAATAAAATAGTAAGAAAAACAAAACAAAAATAAGACATACACATTTTCGTGAACAATATTGCATAAAAAAACCGTTTGTTTGAGGAAGGTATTGCAATAAATATGAATGCAAGTGCAGTGGGGAAGTGACAATATGGTTTATTATTGAACATTACCATTTATTTGCATGTCATTGATCAATTATGATTAATAAAATGCGTTTGATTTTACAAATATGCATTATTATTAGTTAGGAATGTGGGATAAATTATGTATGTGAACACACAGAAAGATTAAATAAACAAGAAAAAAAGAAACACGATTAATATGACAAAAAAACGAAACCGGTGATATATGTATGTAAACGCCTAGTGCTAGTGATGTTGGCAACGTTGGTACTGATGCGACCTTAGCCGCATGCTGCCCCATTGGAATACATTAGATCTTCATAGGAGTTACAGTAGGTCTTGAAACGTTCTAGAATAACATATATGGATAGATGTTATCTTAATTAGTATTCGGAAATCAATTAAATAGTATTATTAAATAATGATAATTATCAACCAAATAAATAAATTGTTTCTTAACTTATTATTAGTTTGTTAATAAGATTTTCCACTCAGACATTTTTTTCTTATATCGTAGAGACATTTTTTATTATCGTCAAAATGTGCATATAGACGTGTTTAATTAGTGTCATGCCTTTTAAACCAAGCAGTATATGAATCAACATTACTTCATCAGTCAATACGTGTGGTATTAGTAATAAGAATCAAAAACAAAATATAAGAAAAGAAAAACATTTCAATACTGTTAATTTCTACGACATCAGCTTTGATTTAGTCGATAGGTTACATATTTTGTTATTTTTAGAGCCTTGCATTAAAATGTGCAGCAAAGCAGGATAAAATATATAACAAAAAAAAGGAAAAAAATTAATCAATTAAAAGCAGATAAAGTTTTCGTTTAAAGCAATGGGATGATTCATGCATAGATTAGATGAAGAAAACATGTTCACTTGTTAATAGCACGGCGGCGACAAAGAGTTCCATGCAAAACATCTTGAATACTACAATAGGTGAAGCGTCCTAAATAATAGAGTGTGTTGACAAATGTTAGTAGGTGAGTTAGTCTATAAGCAATAGTGCATTCTATTTGAAATTTTCAATAAATTATACATAAGAGAAGAAGAGACTTTGTATTCAAACAAAAACTAACTATAATGATAAAATAAAAAGTGACACTTACTTTTTATTTCTTGAAATCGAGTAGAATCTGGATCGGATAATGATTGAAGATATTCACGGATCTAAATATAATGAAAAAAAAAACAAAGAAAAGTTTGTAATAAATTTTTTATTACAAAAAAAGGATAATATACTTACTAATGTTTGCTTGGCAAAATCTTGTTGTTTTCGTCTGACAGCGCGTTCTTCAGCATTTGATGTCAATAGAAAATGTCGTAATTTATTTAAATCATATATTTGCTGTTGTTCCTGGATATCAGAATCATCATCATCATTACTATCATCAACAATCGTATCAGTGTGAGGAAGATTTCGTGAGGGGGCTGCTGCTCGAGATAATTCGATTGTTGACATAAGTACAATGGCAATTAAGAGAAAATCAATACGTGTACAAAATTTCAAAAACTTCATCATCTTGATTTTTTATTTTTGTTACAAATGTGTGACGCAAAGAAAAACAGAAAGAAATGAATCTGTGGGTTGAAAATGAATCTAAAACAGAACTTTTGTAAATATATATGTTTGTCTTATGTACACTTGACAACGATGAAACAACTCAACACTATACTAAATGAAAAAAAAATACCTGAAGCATAGACATGAAAGAAGAAATAAAAGTTTTGCAACACTAATTCATACAGGTAAAGTAGAATTGACTATTTGTTGTATTTATATATATATATATATATTAATACATGTTCGTCGTTTTTTTTCGAGAGAGAGAAAGAGAAAGAAAGAAAAAACTAAGAAGAAAGTCGGAGAAAAAAAGAGAACTGTGTCATATAAAAACAAACATATATTTTTTTCTCTTGTTCATTGAAGCTTGTACGTATTTTTCCATTACCAAGACACTAGAAATAAAACAGAAATTGACAATACAAACTAACATCCCACTCTTATTTGCATCTTACGTTATAGAAAAATGTGGGGGCGTCAATAATTTGAATTGGTTATCGATCTTACTCCGACGAAATTAATTTAATAAATTATGAAATTTTCTACGTCAAGAAAAATCTTCATTTAATATGATAGAAAAATTAATGAAGTTGTTTCTTCAATAAATTTATCATATCTGTCATCCTAGATCGTGCTTAAAAGTATTTATCCACACCTGTGTGCGTGGTTTCTTGTCTAGAAAATGATCATATATGTTCTTTTATACATCATCAATAATACTTTATAAAAAGCAAGAACAATAATAAAAGTTATATGATGGAATATGAAAATCACATATCTATTGACATTTGTTTTTAGTATTCTTAATGGAACTTTTCTTTATTTTTATTTAAATATTATTTAGTTTTTCTTTTATGATCATTTGTATATTTTGAATTATTGTAGCAAATTCATTTTCATTATTATGATTAGAAAACTTTGTAGTTATTAAATGAGATACTCCATTTTGACTAATGATAGCCGGAATTGAAATAAAAAGATCCTCTTTAACATCATAATAACCTTTAATATTAACAGTAACTGTATGAATTTCGCGTTTATTACGAAGTATACATTCAACAAGTTCACTGGATGCCATTGATATTGACCAAACTTCAGTTCCTTTAATAGAAATGATAAAAACCAGTAAAGAAAACAGACTAATAAAATTTTCATTAACCTTTTATTTTCATAATTTCTTCTTGTCGTTGATTGACATTTATATGAAGTTGATTCCAATTTTCTTTATCATATGATTTTCCTATTGACGAATTTTCTGACAGTAAATGTATACCACCAACAGTTATTGAATTCCATAGCGGAAGATTATTATGTCCATGTCCACCAATCATTATTCCAGTTATACTCGTCGGTGATATATCTAATTTTTCACCAATTAATAATCTATTTCAATTAAAATTTTACGATGAAAAGAAAAATGAAATGAATTTAAAACCTGAAATGTGCTGAATCAATCATTGTTCCTGGTGCAATTATACGATATGATGGTAACATACTATTAACAGCACATAATTGAGTCATTACTTCAAATGGTTGTAGCGCAATAATCATAACGCAATCTGATGCTTTAAAAATAGATTAGATTCTTAAGCAATTCAGTAATCAATTGTTCTTTTGCTTATTTTTAATAGAACTATTTGAACTTTTATCAAGGAGGAACAAACGGATTTCCATGCTAGAAATCGCTATAACGTGTTAAGGATACGAAAAATGACTAGTATTAGTTACAAATTATTGGAAACTATAAGAAATTATTGCAAATAACACAAAACCTACAATAATAAGATTAAAAATTAAGCCCTAATTTCTAATGATTTTCATTCATTTCGAAGTATTTTTGATAGTTCCTATTGATTCACGTTAAGCAGTTAAAAAGTGATTTCCAATGCTAGAGATCAAGACATCAGTTTGTTTCCCGTAGATTTTTAGTAAAGATCAACTAAATGTTACCTGTTCTCTTTATCTCTTTTCTTTCTTATGAGATTCAATATGGCGTATTAAACTATTGACTTTACAATACATTAAATCATATAATAAAAATAAAGTATAATTTACAGTTAATATTTATATCATTTTTTTTATCTATTGTAATAATTAGCATAATAGAATGAAAGATAGGATTTATCTAAAAGAATATTGATTTGATTTTTTAATCAATATTTTCTATTTTATGGTTTTTTTTATTATTCATATACTTATCTATATTGAGACACTCATCGTAATTTATGAATTTTTATTATTATTATTTTATTATATGCATTACTCTAAATAAATATGGCATATGTTGTTGTAGTCATGTGCATTTTACCTTTAAAACTAATATATTACTATTTTAGCCTAATACATCAGGCCATTCATTGAGATTTATATTCCCTTGATTTACACAAAATGTCAAAAAAAAACAAGGAGTAGGAGTTTTGATTGATTTATGACGTAGTTATTAGTATACAGGGGAACTCTATATTGATATTATTAATATAAACTAATTCATATTTAAGAAGCATGATAACTTTTCAACTGTATACTAGGTATTATATTGTCAATATAATTATTCAAACCTGTAGGTTTTTATTTCGAAGTAAAAATAATAAAAATATACAGTATATAGTTGACTTTAGGTCATAGAATTATGGTTTCCTCTGCAGATGGTAATTTTCTTTTGGTCATGAGAAACTCAACTCTGTTATTACATGTACGATCGAATAAGAAAAATAAATAAATTAGTACCTATGCATGAATCATTACTCGAAACTAACTATTCTACACACCATAGATACTAATAGCTCTTGATATTGTTTTAAAATTGGATAAGATTTTTTCATTTTGAGATGATGTTTGTGTAGTACTTGATTTCTCTTGTCCTTCATCGTCATCACTTACATCACAAAGAATAACAACACGAGCACCTTCACACGATGCTAATTGATTACTTGCTTGTACATTGACACCTGAAACAAATGTTGTACAAGTACTTAAATCAGCATATTCAGCTAAAATGAAGTAAACAATAATAAAAAAAATCGTTTTATCTATAACAAAAGATTTTTTACCAGCTAATCGTTTAGTATTTCGATCAATAATAATAATATCAGTCACAATTTGTCTACAAATAAGTAAAAAAGCCGTAGCTGATCCTAATTCATTCATCCCAACAATGGCAACTTTATATGGTGTTGGACCAATATTAGGAGGTTCATCAGTAATCGGAATTTTCAGATTATATTTAAGTTCATTAGCTAAATCATTTTGAAGTTTAGCTTCTTCATTATTTAATTGTTTAACTGCTTGATCATTAGTTTCATCTTGATGTACAGTACTAAGTTCTTGCTCATCATTTTTATCAGTTTTTTCTTCTTCTTCTTCTTCTTCTTCTTCTACTTGTTTTTCATTATCATCATATTCATTCATGTTAATATAGCTGATTTTTATTTTGAAATGTTTAAATTAACAATAAAAATCGAGCGCCAAGAATTTAATACAATATGCAAATTGTTCTGCATTTACTATTCATTTTACAAGTAGATATAGATAGAACATCACAAAAGAAAAACAAAAAAATGTATTTTGATTTTATTTAGAATTTGAATATTGTGCAACTCAATGATCAAGAAGAACACTTTGTTAATATTGTTAAACGAGATGTACATACTTCTTCTCTTCAGAGTAAAACCCCAATGAATCACAAAAGAAAAGGCAAAACATTAATTTTAGTTTATTTTAGATCTCAATCGTTATACTAAAACGTATGAAAATGATCAAAATATTGTTCTTGATACACCAAATTTTACATTGATTGATTCATTACTATCCACTAATTCAATAAATCAAACAAAATCTTCTGTTTGTGATCATACAACATGGCTAATACGTCGAATATCATTAGATAATAATCATTTAAATCAATATACAGAAATAGCAAGATATGATTCGATTCAAAATCAATTTATTCTTAATTATCGTCAAGACTATTCGTATACTATTGATTCGACTACTGGTCAATTAACATTAATTAATACTAATAATGAAAATCTTCTTTATACAGAAATTAGTTTACATGCAGAATCAGGTTTAAATCAAGGTGATGAGATTTTACATGATATATATCGATTAATTCGTCTTTCAACTAAATCAAGTAAGAATACTTTGTTTGACATTTCACCAGAGTCTCGAAAGAAGTATTCTTAACCAATTTAATTAATTCTTTTAATGAAAAAAAAATCTTATTTTTTTTTTGTTGTTGTTGAAATAATAGTTAATTGTACAACAAATATAACAGTTAATATAGATGAGTCAATTGAAATGGCATGTACAATTGAATATGAATTTCTAAATTATGATGATTTAGATAATTATCAACCAATAATAAATTTTACATTTTATATTAAAGAAAATGATTTTATGTATAAAATTATTGATCAAAATTATTTGAATGAAATAAAAGATTTTAAAATAGATAATAATATGGCATTGAACTGGAAACGTTCAATTATTTATAGAATTAAATCAATAAATCAAGAAGAAAATAATCGGGAATATGGTTGTATTATAATATCTGAATCATTAAGAAATGAAGATTTATTTCAAGATAATAATCGAATATGTCAAATTAGAATTAATGTTCTAAGTAATATTTTTATTCATCTGAGTACATCTAGTAATTAGACTTTTTCTTTAGATGATAATTCTTCAACAATCATATTTCCAAGATTAAGTAACTAAAAATTTTTTTTTCGCATATTTAATTGTGAACTTTAATATTTATAGATCGCTGGGATCTAATCGATGTATTGATACTTGTTCTTATTATACTTAGTAGTCTATTATTTATTATATCTCTTACTTTATGTTTAGCTACTCAACAATATAATAAAAAACGAATTGTTCAAATTACGCCTGAAAGTATGTTCATTTATCCTTGGTTTAACTGATTTGATATTAATATAGCATAGGATTTAGTTCTTATACAAAGTGTCTCTCAAAAGTCCACTACACCAAAAAAAAAATCAGTTTAAATGATTTATATTATTTTTTCAATATTATGATACGATGTTCCTTTCCAGTTTTATTCTATATAATTTCTGATAAAATATCCGTGCTTGCAAACATTAGAAGGCAAATAGATTTATTAATGATCGAATTTGAGTTATATATAGAAAGTTCGACGGATTGATTCGAGATCATTAGCATACTAACAGTAGATGTTGACTGTATTGGAGATACTTTTAAACTTTTTTGTGAAACTAACACAGTAGAAAATTGGAAAGAGTTATGAAAGATCTTCGACAATTACAGAAGAAAAAAATCGACAATGTTCATGATACTTGGCAGAAGAGCCCAGGTTAATGACTTTGGTGGATTCCCGTCAGAGAGCTTAGGAAAATGATAGGAACTTTGTAGCCGAAATTCGGCGGAAGTATTTTTCTTGTTTTTCTCTAAAACCGAGTAGAGCCGATCACCGAATTCCTGCTTCCAAACTCCTTTCATTTTTCTTTCGGAAGCAGTTCATATTTCTTTATCTGAAGGCTATCATCGAATGTTCAGGTTATTACAATAGTCTGATTGATTCCACGAACGATAGTTTACTGAATGATGACTGAATATCTTCCATTCAAGCCATGCGAGCTATAATTTGTGCGATAAAGATTGACAAGATGGAGTAACAGTTGACAAATTTTGATATCAATGTTAGATAACATTAACAATCAAGGGAATTCATTGTTTACCAACAAATCTGCTTCTCATTTGAATGGTTTATCGATAAACATAAAGTAAAAATAAATCTTACCACATTGGTTTTCACAATAGACTTTTGAAACATCGTATAAATTTCTTCAAATTGTTTGCAATATAAATTCGAGCTAAAAATGATTAACTACTGTTGATTACAATATTTATTTGTATTGAAAGACCAATAGAAGTAATACTAATCTAAATCTATTATTTCAAATTCCAGTCATATTACAAAAACTTTTGATAAATTAATATTTTAATGAACAATTTAAGTTCTAGATAAATCAATAACATTACCACTTAATACAAATACTAAACAAGCATTTTCTAAAGAAAAATTATTCTCAAATAATAATGAAAATAAATCTGAAGTACCTTTAATTGCATCGAAACAATTTTCTGAAGCTTCCATTAATGCTGTTTCATCTGAACATATTCATCGACATAAACCAGGTTGTCCAAAATATATTCCATCACCTGAACATAATCTTCTTTCAAATAATTTATTTACTCATACAACAATTGATAATATTAAAAAAATGTTAGTTAAATTTTTTAAAATAAGATATTTATATGTATGTATGATAATGAATATTTATTTAGAATTCTTCCTGATATTCCTCAAAACAATGAACTATTCGATGATCAAACTTATATTCATTTTTATATACCATCAAAAACTGAGAATATATCATTTAAAAAATTTCATTCATCTTTGATTGAAAAAGACAAAGCATCTGATTAATTATACTTTTTTTTCCGATTAAATGAAAGACAAAAGTGAGGATTTTTATATACATTTTTAAAACAAAAAAGAAAAAAAAAGCATTCTCTATCATGTATCTACATAAGAAATAAGAATGATTAAATAGAGAAAAGCAAAAGTAATAGTAAATAAGCAAAAGGATTGTTCGCATCGTCGATAAGTAATGGTAATGAATTATTAATGCTTGAGTCGAAAGCTGTTTGATTATTTTGAAACGATTTGTTTGAGTCTATGATGATGATAATTATTATTAATATCGATTGATATTGGCCAAAGCATGGTCTAAATGAAAAAGAAAAACTCTCAATGAATTTCGTATCAGATTAAAAATGAAACAGAAAGTAATAATTGCTATTGTATATGAAACGATTTAGAATTGAATCACTTTGTTTATTAGTTACTATGCTTAGGTTAATAAGTATTTGTGAATATAAAAAGCTAACATCCACTTTGCAAACTCATGGATAAGTAGAGAACTTGTAAATGAATAAGAGAAGAAAGTCATTGTCAAACTGAAGAATTCAACCATTAGTGAAGCTAGTTGTTCAGATCAGGGTGAATTGGAAGAAAGAAGAATATCACTGTCTTTCGGCTACCTTACATTATGGGACACTGTCTAGCGGCACAATCAATAGGTCAATATTTTTCCTACAACTAATACTACCTGTAGTTCTGGACAGAAAGCCAACCTGATGCATAATTGTTGCACTCAATTGCTTGAGTTTCTTATATACACTTGGTAGACACTAGAGTCCGTCAATTCCGAAACTTTCAGACTCGGTTCTGTTCGAGTCTGAATTCGTGACCCATATGACGAGCTCAACTAGCCATAGGAATAGATATGTATCTCAACATAGTTCGCATGCTATCGGACGAGTAATCCGCGACAAATAGTCGCTAGTGACTTGTTCAGAGTCATTCGATGACTGTTAATACTGAGGATTGAACATAGCACCTTGTGGTTACATGTTGAAGAACGTAATCCCTCCGTCACGGCGGTTCCCATGATGTATTGAATGTACCCTTGGATCTGCTACGTAATTCAACAGTTATTAAAAGCTATGTTGATTAAGATTTATAGCGACAAAGACAAGAATAATTACTAGAAAGTCTGACATAATCTATGGAAATTCTAGCTTTCATTATAAAAATGAAAATAAACTTCATATTCTTCTCTTAAAACACTACCTGCAATAGCTTGTTGCATACGACGACGAGCTCCAAAAGCTTCAATACCAATTTGAGTCAAATCATGATCCGTCATAGAAAGAAATGTGCAATAGTCAATCTAGATGTCTCAGAAATGTTGTTCTTTTTGATTAATAAAATAAAGAATGGTTTACCTCATTACGTTCAAATGTTGACCAATATTTTTCTAAGTTAAGTGAACGAAGTAATGTCAATAATTTTGTCGAGCAATTATCTTGTACTGGAAAAGCCAAAGTATCTTAATAAAAATCACAGATATTTATAATAAATCAATTTAAAATTTACTGTCAATTGATTCTAAATTATTAATATCAGTCGGTTTTAATGTTTGTTGAGTCGTTGAATCAAAAACAAAAAGCTAAAATTATAGTTTAAGATTAAAATCTTACTAATTAAACTAATTTACCGATGGAATTCGATCATTATTTGTTGGCCAAATGACACTTTCTTGATCAAGATCTATAAAAAAAAATAAAGTAACTTACATTCAAAAAAATCATAATAATAGTTATTCACTTCGTGATGATGAACGTTCATGGCCAATGGGTGATGGTTTTTTAGCTGTATTTGTTTCAACTCTTCAATCCATCAAGAAAAGAAACTTAATACTTAAAAATAAAAATCAAATCATTTACATTGGTACAAGTACAGTATCAATTTGTTGTGTCGTTGGTATATAACAAGGCTCAATGGGAATTAATAT